CATTCATTTGATTATGGTTAATCTGTAAAGGTACCGCAGATATGTTTTAGAAGAAGTTTTTGATTCATGGTATTTTCAGGGTCGTTCAAAGATGTATGCCGACAGGATTCGATCCCTTCCAAAAAATGCAGATCCATGGAAGTACTAGGGAAAAAGATATTGTGTAGTGTTGTTCAAATAGTATTTTGCAATAGTAAATGATTCGACAGGATTTGTGCTTAGAATTTGGACGGTTTTGACCGAAGATATTTATTGAAACTCACTCTGTAATTGTACGTTTTTGTGGAAGCTTTGGAAATGCCTTTCTTTTAACAGGGAGAAATAGTTTCGTGCTGTATTGAAAGGTAATGTTAGTGAATCGAGGTCCTCCTTTGGGAGATGACTCGAGTAACTCCAATGATGACGATATGGGAGAAGAGGCGAGTATTTGAATGTCTTGATTCCCTAAACACTCAAGTAATCTACGTTGTTCAGATGTCTAGCCGGGGATTTTCGGAAGAGAGTTGGTGCAGCGATGCGATGAAATCTGCAACAACGTACGAAGTGTGTTGCTTTTCCTACTTGCTAAGATCGATTTAGTCATAAAAAGAAGTTCTGCAATCCACCTTCTACCTCATACGCAAACTTTCTTAAGGAAGACGAAAAACTCGCTGAAGAGCGGCTGGTGAATCTGTATCCTCGAGCAGAATTTAGAGTAAGCTGCCTCTTATCATCTGTTTTGGGCTTTGATGACTCGTTTGACAGTTTTATTTTACGAATCACCATGGAATTAGTTTTACAAATTCTCATTATTTTCTTTTTTATTGCCCTACCAGTCGGATCGCCCATCTAACGTCGGGCATTCCTTCTTGGCATTCTCGCCGCCTGCATTCTCCCAAGTTTAAAAGTTCTTGTCCAAGAAAATGAAAGCTTTGATTTCCAACGAAACACACGCACACACACCGACATACTTCATGTGTTGGATCCATTCCCTCTTACTCCAACTTGAGTGGGTTTTCTTTCAAACTGCTCCATTTCACGAAAGGTACGCCCCTCCCCCCTTCATCCCAACTACGCCTCCGCGGGCTGGATCTAGTTCGGTTATTTTCTACTATCTACAATCGGTGTCTTGAATCTGCTACCTGTGCTCAATCCAAATTTGAACGCTCCAGTTACAAATCAGCAGTGCTCGCGTACGTCCCGCCTTCTGTGGGCGGAGTCAAGTCATGCTACCTCCTATCAGCATTCCTATACTGCCGTCTTTATTCCTAGTGAATTCGCTTCAGTCTTGTCAATCCTGCCATCAGCATCACTATCAAATTTAAACACTCTAAGTGTACGGTCACAGATGTTATAATTTTCCGCTCAAACTACGACCACTGGCAAACTGGACTGTCGGCGGAGTCCGATCTTGCCATCCACCGAA